AGCTAAAAAATTTGGAGTGTTAAATTTGGTGAATTGACTTCAAGAGGTTTGGAGGTTAAAATTTTGGCAAAATATTAACTCTGTGTATGCTTCTATGGAGCTTTATCAAATTAGAGACTAAAAATTTGGCGTAAATTCGCCAAAATTTTACTCCACCAATTTTTTTGGTATAACATTGATTAATTTAAAGTACATGTACATGTAATTTAAGTGTTTAGGCCACTCCCACAGCCCCACCACTTACGTGCCCAGTGGAAATACACAATCTTAGCATTAGCAATCCTGTACACTGTCTTGTTGATCCACCAAAATGGAAGAACAAATAATTGCAATAGGTTAAGTACCAGTCCACTCATCAGGAAACAAGTCACAAATAATAACATGACGAGCTGCCGGAGCCATCTTAAGACAAAGGCAGACGCCATTAAAGGAGGAAGAATCACTAGAAAATAAAAGAAAGTGACATACAAAGAATTTACTATTTTAATTAGTATCAGCTGCTGCAGTTTATCAGCCCCACCCACTTTTGCTGCGCATGCGCAGTTTGTTTACCCACGTGTAACACAACGCCGCCTCATTTTATTAAAACGAGTGGGCGTTGATTGTGAAGCTTTGGGAGACTAATTTTCACCTCAAAAAAGTTTCTAAAAATAGCAGAAAAATAAAATAAAAAAAAGCAAAAAATAATAAAATTAGCTATTACAATGATCAAAGCACACATTATTAATTAAGCTAGCTACTATTAAAGTCATAGGGAAAACAAGCATTTTTTAGCTACAAAATCTCAATCTACTTGCACACTAGGGTCGGTTGTACTACCAAAGGTAGCTGCAGCAGTGTTCTTATTTGTACTGATTCCTTCCTCCTGATTTTCTTCTCGAGAGAAATCATTTATTTGAACTGAAACATGTCGTTCGTCGTATTCTTGTGGATTCTCCATACGATCAGCAACCCAGTCATCATCATTACCAATTAACGGTTCATCCTCTCCATTTCGATTGATGTGGTCATTAGGTCGATGATACTTGTAATATTTGTAGCAGTTCATGCATACAGTGCATGACCAGTAGATGATGTATAACAGCAAGAAACTAATAGCCAAGCAATTGAAGATAAAACCAAGCAAGAAATGAGTTTCTGAGAGTGATACTTTTGCATTTGGTCGTAGGAGTATGACACCTGTCGTTGCAATGCTCAGTATAGCCAAGAACCCTAGGAAAAGAACCTCGCCAAAACTGTGGATGTCTCTTTGAAATGGTCGGAATATGAGAATCATAAATGCGAGTAAAAGTGAACAGCTTCCTTGGACAATTTGTAATACGTAATATGTTGGAGCAAACAGTTGAAAGAGTATGATTAACCTTGCTAATAAGTAAAATCCAGCAAAGAAGCGATAATCATAGGTGTTCTTAGACCCATTCTTATAAGGACCAGTAAACACATCACCCAGTGATATCAGTAGCTGTTTCCTCAAATGTAAACAATCCAATAACTTTTGAAACCATTTGAATGGATAAAGGAGTATATAAAGTGTTGGTAGAACAATTAAGATGACTAAAACTAAAATGGCAAATGAACCAGCAAAAGCATGATCTAGATCATCAAAATATTTAACTTTTGCATCATAAAAAAATTTGACAGATTTGTCAGTTGTGTGTTCAAGTTTCCGAAAGCGCAGTATTTTAAAGGAAGTGGCAGCTAATTGAGTGAAGCAGAGTATATATATTGATGCTATAGAGTGAGTAAAAGATGGTTCAATGCCAGTCATACTCCAGAAACGAGCCATGCAACGATGAAATGGTCTAGTAACCAATACTACACACTTGTAACCTTTATCATACAATGTTATCCAAACATAGAGTAAGAGGAGAAGGAGCAATGGATAGAATCCTACTACGTACCAAAAGGAAATAGCACCCAATGGTGACATGTTTGGAGTTATACACAAAGGAAATGTAGTACTATTGATCATTGATATAAAGTCCAAGTTAAAGATAATGGACGGCTCCAAATACCTCCATTTTCTCTTTATTGGTGTAGCAGTGGCTTCTAGTATCATTTCCATATAGATAATGGACATAACTTGAGAGAAAAACACTAGCCCATTAAGAAAACCATTTGTCAATTGTACATTGAGTGCTATTATTAGTAACACCATGATTGTGATTGGTAAAATCTCTAATAGGACAAAGTACAGCAAGCCTAAGGGATGGCCTTTGCAAATGCACTTATTTATCATATTGATTGGCACACCATTACCTAAGGGACATACAGCACACAGGGTTCCTGTAGTATTATCATGACAAGTGTCATTAGGCTTTTCATTGACATATGAGTTACGATGATGGACATAATTGTAAATGGTATCCTTAGACAAAGGACAGTAACTCTCATCAGTACAAGTCAAATAATTACATCCTCCAAAATATATAGTATTGCATTCATGTAAGTGGTGCAACGGTACAGACTCACTTTTGCTGTTTTGTGTTTCAGCGGTGAAGACTACATAACTTACATTATAATTGGCATCAGTATTGTCACACACTAATAGAATATTGTATGTGTATTCATTAGTACTAATGACTGGGATTACTGTACTGCAGTATGTCCCTGATAGTAAATAAACGCAAACGTATAATGGTGATGCACACTTTATAGTTTCTGTGTGTGTATTGTTGCAAGTATGCTCTGTAGCTTTGAAAATAACACAGCTTCGACTATTACTTTGAGACTTCACAGCTACATCATACAGCTCTACATAAGACTTGTATTTAGCTTCATCGCAATAGTCACCAGATTGGGATGAAGTAAGTATATTTGAGTTATCATAGCAATTGTATAGACTAACTGATTCAAAAGTTAGCCAGTTTTTGAAGGAGAATGGTATTTTAACAAGGCATGTGACACTGACATTTGCACTACCAACAATACTTACATTAGACTGCTGCCCTGGTAGACTAGTAGTGTCTAGTGTATATGTACCAGGAGACAGGTTGATAAGGATACCTGATGAACAGTTGTATTGTAGAGTAGCAGTTCCTTGTATTATTTGTATAGCTAGATCAATAGTAGCACAAGGTGTTTGAACTCCTCCAGTCCAACAAGAGGTATTGTTGATACCATCAGATGAACTGACATAGATCCTACACTCCAAACCAGCAGCAGAATATACTAGAACAATGAGATGAAAGATCAGAACTAAAAAAACACCACCATAAATCATGATTGTGTTATACCAGGAGCCCTAGTGATTACAATACACTATTCATGATACATAGTTTTTAAAGTCTCCTTTTGTTGCGCATGCGCAGTTTGTCCACCCACGTGGAGGCGGGCTCTCATTATTAAATAAAAAGAGACAATAAGAGAAAGGTACACAAAGAGGGTTTGTTTATTATTATTTATTAGTTTGTATAGTGGAATGGCTACCAGTACTGATCCTCCCAAGTCCCCGACAGATCCCTCCAGCCTAACAGCTGAAGAAAAGCATCATCTGATCACCAGAAACTTGCAAGTAATTATAATTAGTTTATTTCAAACTAGGGCCCCCTCTCTCTTTCTCTCTCTCCTCAGGAAGTCCTAGGTGATGATACATTACGTAAGATCCTACCTGAAAGGAACATCAGTATATATTGGGGTACAGCTACTACTGGTAAACCCCACATTGCATATTTCGTCTGTATTGCTAAAATATCTGATTTCTTAAAGGCCGGCTGTGCAGTAAGAGTAATATTGAAATCCTTTTAATTAGAGTATTGTCTAGGTGACGGTACTTTTGGCAGACCTGCACGGTTACCTTGACAACCTGAAGGCTCCGTGGGAACTCCTCGCCCATCGCGTCAAGTATTATGAGTTTATAATTAAAGTGAGCCACACCCACTTAACGGCTTTATATATTGTGTAACCACTAACCAGTAGTTAATTCTAGTTATTATTAATTTGCAAGCGTAATTTGTACTGTTAGATCTAGAGGGAGTTTAGGAGACTTTTGGTGTCCCATATTTGGTCTAGGTCTCCTAAAATTTATCATTTTCAGCTTTTGGTCTCTCATATTTAGCCCTAGGTGTTCTTAAGTGTCCCATTTTTAGTTAGATTGGTCTCCCAAAGTTTATTCCTAGATCTAGCAACATTGATGAGCATTAATCCTGTTTCATGTGTATGTACATGTACATCCCTGGCCTGTTGATCCAATACTTCAATGAAGACCTCCACTAACAGACAGTGTTGGTATGGAATGACCCTATAACACAATAACCTGGTGACAACAGAATCCATTAATAGACACCAATAATTAAAGATAATTAATACTAATTATCATCATCATTATTATTATTATTATTATTATTATTATTATTATTAATTACAGAGTATGTTGGAGTCCATTGGTGTTCCTCTTGAGAAGTTAAAGTTTGTACGTGGAACTGACTACCAACTGAGCAGGTTAATTAATAGTTATCAATAGTTATAAATTTTATACTAATAATTAATTGATAGTTAATTAATAGTTAATAATAATAGTTAATTAATAGTCATTAAACAATAGTTATTTGTTTATAGTTAATTAATAGTTTATAATAGTTAATAATAGTGGTTAAGTTATTAGTAATAATAGTTAATTACTAGTTATTAATGCCCATATTAGGGAGTACACTCTTGATGTTTATAAGATGACGTCAGTCGTATCACAAGTAATGAATAATTAACGAGACACACCCACTCAATTAATTAAACCTCTCCCCATACACTACAGCATGATGCTAAGAAGGCTGGGGCTGAAGTTGTGAAACAAGTCAAATTCCCATTATTGAGTGGACTACTCTATCCTGGACTACAGGTAAGTACATATTACAGTATAGCCAGAAAATTTGGCGGTCTAAAACTTTGGTAGTATTGCATCAAGTTGCCTAAATATAATAATTGGCAGTCTCTTAATTTGGCGGTTTACTATCTTGCCTTTTCTTTAAGCACACTCAGCTCTTCTTGAAGCTGCTCCTTGCCAGTCCTTGCCCACAGTCTTGACTGAAATAGTGAGAAATACTTGGAAATACTGTCATTTTGGCACTTTTTAGTATCATGTGCTCACGACGGGACCCGCCCATCATTGCAATTATTATTGATGGTTATGATATTGGCGGTTTTATTTTGAACTGCTAATCCGCCAAATTTTCCGGCTATACGGTATATACATGTACACGTACACATTAATAATTTATTGAGGTATTCTTGAATCAGAATCAAATATCACCGTATTGTTTAATTAATTTTATTTTTATTAATTGGCAGGCTCTTGATGAAGAGTATTTGAAGGTTGACGCTCAATTCGGAGGAGAAGATCAGAGGAAAATATTTACATTTGCAGAGAAAGTAATAATAATAATAATAATAATAATAATAATAATAATAATAATAATAATAATAATAATAATAATTTGTTTATTTTTATTTTTTTATTATGTTTTCTTAGCTAGTTTTTTTTTCTTATTTTTTCATGTTTCCCTTTTGTTTTTCTGTTGTCTCCTCTGGGATCTCCCTCTTTCCCCTATTCTTTTCTTCTAGTCATTGTTTTTGTACATGTTCGTTATTTTTATACTAATAATAATGATAATAATAATAATAATTTTTTTGTTTATTTTTTGCTCTGCCCCTCCCAGTACCTCCCTAGATTACGTTACAAGAAACGTATCCACTTCATGAATCCAATGG